ATATATATATATATCATAATGATTGTGCTGTTGTGTTGTTAATTTTCACTTTGGAACGTAAAATATAGACGGTTCGAAAATTGTAACTTTGTAAAAAAAAATGGCTTGTAGATTCTCAATGTAATAAAAATTACAAAAAATCATCAAAACTGAAAAGGTTATATGAAATAGTACCTATCTCCAGCAGTAAAAAAAAAAAAGTTCACAAATTCCAATGCAAAGCCATTTCACAATATAGAACAACAAATCACAAAATTAATATAAGTTAAATTAAATTATTATAGTTAAATAAAACTAATCTGTAAAGCAAAAAAAAAAGATTACATTATATAACAAATGATATCAAAACCATAAAAAATTAATATCGTTCCAAACTGTTCGATCAAACCACTGCGAAATACTTTCATTGTATAATAGTTGTAATTTATTATAAACCCATTTAAATATTAGAAAAATTTGTCGATTTCTTTTGTAACTTGGAAACTCCAATAAACATATGAGACGTTCATATGATTTTGACCAGATGGGTAGACAAAGTGCGATTAAGAAATTCAAGTAAAAAGTATGTAAGAACATATATATATATTTTTAAATAAAAAATCGAATATTACTGTGGTACCTAAATTTTAAAAATAATTTTAAAAAAGGGACATAAAAAAAAAAGAACAAAATGATGGACCGAGAGGGCATGCGTTAGAATCGAGCAGAAGACAAGATTCAGATGTTATGTCGCTTTCTTTCCACTAAACCCTAAACCTCAAAAAAACACGTATCCACATATTGCCTCCTTTTCTCAGACCGTTCTTCGCCCTCTCTCTCTCTCTCTCTCTCTCTCTCTCTCTCTCTCTCTCTCTCTCTTCTTTTTTTTTGGAAAATCATTTTTCCCACTTAAATTCGATTTTATGTTTTCTAACCTAATCATAATAATAAATTGACTTTTCCATTTTTTTTCTTCCCCATGCGTTTGATCTTAGTCCAAATTATCATCATAGCTAGATTTTTCTGTTCTTATATAATAAAACACATTTATTAAAAAAATCTAAATAAATTTAGTTTATACCACATGTAGAGAATATGATAAGTTTCGGGATTATAATGATTCTGGTCGAGAGAAAACTCGTTTGGTGATTAAAAAAACATTCTACATAATGTTGATGATTATAATCATGAAATAGCAAAAATAAAAAATTTTACAACAATCACACTTTTTTTGTGTGATTTCGAACCATATTTACTGTATTTTATTTATCTTACATATATACTATTGAACCACTTATATCAAAACGGTTCAATCCATGTTTAAAAAGAAAAGCTAACAAAAAACCTTTTATCTCAATAAAGACAATGAATATGATAAAACCCATTAATTTATCAAGTATTTCTCTTATTTTCTTTTTTATATATATATATATACACATACATACATACATACATACATACATACATACATAATCTTTTATCTCAATATATATATATATATATATATTTGTATGTTTGTCCATTGTTTTTGTATGTGAGATGATGTAATATTACGATAGAATGAGAAGGACATTACGTGAAGAAAAGAAGAGAGCTGACCCAAAATCGTATGTCAGATGGAAGTAAAATCAAAGTGGGTTGCAATACCAAAATGTAATAATGCAAATCACAAGCACAATAATAATTTGGTCCGCCTCTTTCTATGCTTTGCCTCTTATTATTTGTAGGGGTGGATCATAACTTACTCAATTACCCGAGTTGGGATCCGAACCCATCTGGAATTGATTTTTTTTTTTAAAAAAAAATTGTATTAGAGTATGTTGTATTCGTTTAGGAAATGAATATTGAGTATCCGTGGTTCAAGATTTGGTTCCATTTTTCATTTTCAAATTTCGGACGTCCATATCAAAAGATATAAATTGATTTTAAATTATAACCTTAATTTGCGAAATTGTTACGGTATCTAAAGTTTATTTATATATGACACTGTCGCTGAATTAATTACAAAATTATCATTTAGTTTAAATTTTTTGAATTCAAATATCCAATATTTTTTTAATATTCAAATAATTAATTTTTAGTCAGAAAATTCGGATATCCTATTCTATGCGCAATATCTTTTTTTCTTGTAAAAAAATTATATATTCGTGCAAAAATTATTTTCAATTGTATATTTCATCCTTTAAACATAAATCTAGTTGTCCAATTAAGATCCAACTGCTTTAAGGTAATTTTGTTCACCATCAATTTACTTTTTACAGCTTTAAGCAACGAAAAATATATATAAAAAAACCCACATCAAAATCCCAAAAAGGAGTTGGGAAAGGCATTTTGATTTTTTTTTTCTCTATTTTTTTTATTTTTGTTTTGTGTTAGGACTAGTTCCTGCAATTGCCAAAGGCTAAAGGCTACAGCTTTAAGCAAAAGCCAACTCTTAACTCTCCACCATTGGGCTAATGTCATTGATGTTAGATTCTATGAGGATCTCACTTCATTTTCTTTATATATACACACACATATATATATATATATATGTATATATGTGTGCATGTCAAAAGATAATGGTCTTTTTGTGCTCCTTTACATTTGTGCAATTATATGAGTAGATCCTAATTTAGATGCTGAATTATACCCTTTTTTTGTTGAAAGGTGAATTATACTTTTCCCCTCAGGCAAATCACTTTGTCTTTTTCCTATGGCGAAAAGGTATTCTTTAGTGTGTGTGTACACACTTTTAACCAAGATGGTTAGATAGGTTGCTTAGTTTCATATAAGGCTGCATAATATGTTTTGCAAGAATTTATATATTTTATAACATATACTGTAAAATATCAAGTCATTGTAATCTATTAGCTTCCTTTTCCTATTAATTAAATATAAAATATTTTCAAATTATTTTTCATCATGTGTATAATGCTCGTAAAGATTGAACTTATGGTGCATTTTCATGCAAAGAATTTGAACCGATCGAGGACAGAACTGTTATGGTACTAAATGATAAAACTTATGGTTATTCTATTATACACTTCCCTTGTTTATTTCAATATCTAAGACTATTGCTAACGTCATTATTTTTCTAATTCAAAAGACATCATAAAAACATATTTGTAAGGGAAAATCCCAAAACAATGCCTAAACTTCTAAATTTTCACAAAATAAAATCTAAACTTTGTTTTTTATCAAATAAAACATCAACTTCATTTTTCAGACAAAAATAAATCTGAACTTTATAATCTTTATTATTTTTAACCCTATTGCTGACGTGACGTTCTGATATCGTGACACGTGAACGATGATGTGTCAAATACGGTCAAAGTGTTGACTTGCTACGTAGGATGTCGGAAATGTCACGTCGACAATAGGATTAAAAATGATAATGATTATAAAGTTCAGGTTTATTTTTTACTGAAAAATAAAGTTGATATTTTATTTGATAAAAAACAAAGTTTAGATTTTATTTTGTGAAAATCGAAAAGTTCAGGTATTGTTTTCGGATATTCCCTATTTGTAATAGAGAATTTGAGAGAGAAATGTTGGACTTCTTGTTATTCAAATTAAAACAAAGTACTACAATATTTATAAACATGGAAAACAATCATGTAATATCTGATTTAATTAATATAAAACTAAAACCTAAATATTACTATACTATTACATTTTTCTTGAATAAACTCAAGGAGTTAAATAGCAATCATTCGGGATTTAAATTCTAGAGAAAATATAGTTGTATTTGAAATGAGCTTTTGGATCTGAAAATTAAGATCTCAATTTGATGTGGTGCAGAAATGTGGGTCAACGTTGTCATCGAAATTTTTCGACCAACTGGTTTAGAGATCTTAAATTACATTTAGTGGTTAGACTTAGATACCATGATTTAAAAGTAATATTAGAGACTTCTCGTTGGTCAAACAAAAAGATTACAATATTCAAAAGTAATAGTAGAATATCTTATTTAATTAACGTAAATATCTTAGATACATAAATAGAACCAAATCTGAATATTCCAATGTATCTTATTGAATATTCTATATATCTTGATAATTTGTATGTTTACTTTATTTATATATAATGAATGTACTAAACTAGAGAAGATAGAATTTATATAATAGTAGAGTGTATTGTTTTATTTTATTTTTATAATTACAATTAGGGTTTTTTCAAAATTTAATAAATATTATATGTGAAACGTAGAATAGTAATATTTTCCAAATTATTTAAGATATTCCTGAGTTTTTCAAGACAGATTATAAGAGGACAGAATTGTATATACTTTTACATTAGTAAAATTACATAATCATCTCTCAATGTTAATTTATCGAATATCTCTTAACCCAATTTCTATTTTTTTTAAATTATTTTTGTTATTGGCATTAGAAAAGTCGATGCTCAAAGCAAATAAGACACTCTCCAAAGGGCAATCTGGTCAACAAATCTCCTATATAATCCCCCAACATTCGGACAAAGCTTAACCCACACACCTTAAAAAGTTTCCATAACATAACACAACCATTACATTAATTCTCCCCCAAGATCTCTTCTTTTCTTTTTTGTTTCTTCAAATAAAGATAAGAAACAAACAAGAAAGAAGGAAGAAGAAGAAGGGCGAAGATGATAACGGGAAGCGACTTCTACAAAGTGATGTGCGCGATGGTTCCGCTCTACTTCGCCATGTTCGTGGCCTATGGCTCGGTCAAGTGGTGGCGGATCTTCTCGCCGGAACAGTGCTCCGGCATCAACCGTTTCGTCTCGGTCTTCGCCGTCCCCGTACTGTCTTTCCACTTCATCTCTCAAAACAACCCGTACGAGATGGACTCGACGTTCATATTGGCCGACACTCTGTCCAAGGTCATGGTCTTTGTCTCGCTGTCCCTCTGGGCCGTCTTGTTCCGAGGCGGTGGTCTCGACTGGCTCATCACCCTCTTCTCCATCGCCACTCTTCCCAACACTCTCGTCATGGGGATCCCTCTGCTTAAGGCCATGTACGGTGATTTCACTCAGAGCCTCATGGTGCAGCTCGTGGTTCTTCAGTGCATCATTTGGTACGTTTCATCTTACTATATATAATATATATATATATATATATATATACGCTTGCTTGATTTATTCCCTCTTTTTAGTATATATATAGATTGCGAATGTTATGCAGAATCAAGTTCCAAGTAAGATGGAACTCGGAATATGACTAATCCTACATACATACATACACACACACACACATATATATATATATATATATGATAACATTTTGCTTGAATAAGTTTGTCCATGATTTTGAAGGGATTTTTATCATAAATACTATAAATATGCCGACGAAGACCATTTTGTAATGCGTATTTTATAATATTTAAAAAATATAAATAAAAATGATGACCCGTGTTTACAAATTATATATTTCAAACAATTTAAAAATAGGAAAAATAAAAATAAAAAAACGTGGAAGATTCGATGGAGTTACTGTTGGGGTTTGCTTTGTGGGTTTGTGATATCTTTTGTCTCTTCATCTCCTGTTGACAAAAACGACTTTTGTCTCAAGAGCTTTTGTCCCATCCGCCACTATCTTATTCATGCCGTAATTGATAGGGGCTGTAAAATTTTGACATAAGCAACTTGTATATATTTATTCTTTTATAATCATTGTATATATATATATATATTATCGCTTGATAATACCACTTTATATATTTTAAAATCATTTTATGACATTTAAAGTATTATAGGGCTCATAATGTCAATGGTTATAGTACAATGAATATATCTTTTGTTTGTCAGTAAATAATTAAATGTAACAAATTAAGACATAAAAATGTTGGCTTTCACTATTTATCCCACAAAAAGGACAAACCAATTTTCTAAGTTCAAGAAAAACATAGTCTGCAGTTTAATTTGGGATATTATTCTAAAAAAATTTATTATTAGCTAAAAGGAATGTTTTAAGCCCGGTTTTAACAAGTATATACAAATTTAGTAATAAGATTATTATTTTATATGAATTAATTTAGATAATTAAAAAACGATTTTAATGATATTAAATTCTAACTTTACTAACATAAATCCCTGATTTCGAATGATATTTTTTTTGGTAATCGAATGTTTTATACCAAAATCTATACTAATATCGGAGATTAGCCGATTTGAAATATATATTCTCTCCCCAAATTTGATTGGGAATGATATTATTATCTATAGTTTCATTCATTACCAAAAATTTTAATTATTTTTCATAATTTTATTCTGATGAAAGGTACACACTGTTACTGTTCTTGTTCGAGTACCGGGCGGCGATCGCACTGATCCGCACAGAGTTCCCCGGCGGCGGAGCCGCGACCATAGCCAAGATCGAAGTCGACGATGACGTCATCTCCTTAGACGGCATGGATCCTCTCCGTACGGAATCGGAAACAGATCTCAACGGTCGGATCGTACGTGTCAGGATCCGACGGTCCACATCCTCCGTCCCTGATTCCGTCCTCTCCTCCTCCTTATGCCTCACCCCGAGAGCCTCTAACCTCTCCAACGCCGAGATCTTCTCCGTCAACACCCCCAATCCGTTACTTAACGGCGTTAACGGCGGTACCCTCCAGTTCTGCAATGGTAATATAATCTCTGTTATTAATTAAAGATATGGAAAATATTGGATTGGATATGAATAATAATCATGCCTTTAAATTATATAAAGAGAGAAGGTAAATAAATTATACAAACCTTTGAAAAGTTGAGAAAAAAATGTGTCAACTTCTTTTTTTTTTGTTGACCTAAAATGAATTCTTTTGAGATTTGCGTCAAATCAATTTTAAATAAAAAAACTGGTGACTTATTCTTTTTCCCCACCATTTTTCGAGGTTTTTTTTTTAGATTTTTAGTTTCATAATACGTAATTTTATAATTTCAAGAAACGAGATATAAATTGTAATTATGCCTTTAAATTTTATAAACAGAGAATGGTAAATAAATTGTATAAACCTTTGAAAAGTTGGAGAAAATGTATCGATTTATTTTTCATGTTGACTAAATTTTTTTCCCACCTTTTCCAAAAGATTGCAACTTTTCTAATATTACCAGCTAGGCATACGAGTAAATACATCATTTCCCCGAGATTATTATTTTTTTTTTTGTAAAAGATGTAAATTTTTTATAATTTCAGGGAACGAGATCGTTTTCTGTAACGGAGATCTAGGCGGGTTCGGATACGCCCGACCCGGATCCGTTAGCCCGATGAGGCTATCGGGTTACGCATCGTCCGACGCATATTCCCTTCAGCCGACGCCTAGGGCTTCGAATTTCAACGAGCTCGACGTTAACGGTAACGGTACGCCGGTGTGGATGAGATCTCCCACCGCCGGAAAAATTTTCCGGTATCCTTCTCCGAAGATTGCTTGGGAGTCCGGTCAGAGACATGGAAGCAAGGATATTAACGGTACGTTACGTCGTTTTCATGTGCATGAACCCTGACACGATGTCGTTTTGTCACTTTCTCTGTTTTACTCCTCTCTTTTCGTATTTTTTTTTGTAATTTTGTTATATATATAAATATGTATTATTCTGCATCTGATGAAAAAAAAATATGAGGAAACATAAAATGCAGCTTTTTCAGATAGGTACATAGCTCATGTCTCTTTTATTGTTCAAATCCCGCAGAATTTATAATTATTATTTAAATTTTTATATTTTCATATATTTGGATCGCGTTTTCTTGTTTAGGCCTAAGATTCCAATAACAACATGATGAAGCATGTAAATTGAAAAAAAAAATGGGGCCCACGTGCCTCCCACAATCTAAATGTAAATCTAATCTAATGCGAAGACAGAACACAAGTGGTCAACGGGATGTTGACTTTGTCCCCATGATGTTTGGTCTCGCAAGTCAATCCTTTAATTAAGAGATGATATCATTTTCTTCGAGCACGTGTGTAATCATAACACTTGATTTTCCCTCTTTTCTTTTATCTTTTTAAATTTTAATTATTCCGTTTCTGTAAAATTTAATTCCACCAACAAAATAAATAATTGTAATTATTATGTCACATACATTTTAATGATTGCGATGGACTTTGCTGTCAATTTCAGTGCCGGAGAAAGAGATCAGTTTCAGGGACACGGCCAAGGCTCCGCCACCGTATGCAGCCGCCGGAGCTTCCTCCGTCGAGGAAGGAACCGCCGGAAAAGATACGGCGGCGCGTGGGAAGCAAGAAATGCCACGCGCCGTTGTGATGGTGCGGCTTATACTGACCGTCGTGGGACGCAAGCTTTCGAGGAATCCAAACACGTATTCAAGCGTGTTAGGCCTATTGTGGTCACTAATATCGTTCAAGTGAGTACCCAAAAAAAAAAAAAAGAGACGTACCCTATTTTTTTTTTAATTTCTTTTCGATTATAATATCGACAAAATTAATTCTATTGCATTGTTAACTGAAATTTCAAGAAGGAAATTAAGTCATCTAATAGAATTATCCAAAAAAATAGAATAAAGGACCATGCCGAGCATAGTGAAATATTCGATCAAGATTATCTCGGATGCGGGTCTTGGGATGGCCATGTTCAGCTTAGGTATATATTGCTCTATATCATCATATAATTAAGTAATTTTATATATTTTTCATAAAACAAATCATGTAATTAAGTAAATAACCCTAATCAAAAAAATAAAATGAAACCTAATATTATCCCTTTATTTATAATTGATTAACAAGTAATTATATATATATATATATATATATATATATATATGAAACGAATTGAATTACAGGTCTGTTCATGGCATTGCAACCACGGATAATAGCTTGTGGGACGAAGAAGGCGATGATGGGGATGGTGATAAGGTTCATCTCCGGTCCTATTGTCATGTCCGTAGCTTCTGTTCTTGTCGGAATGAGAGGTACAAAGTTGCACGCCGCTATTGTACAGGTATACACTTCGATTATATGGAGAAGATTTGATAAAGATTACCGTAATTTTCTCGAATATTCTCAATATCTCTAACAATACCAACAAATGTTAGGAACCCTAATGGTTTTTTAGATTGTGTCTATCTATTCTGTTGTTTACTAATTAAACCAACATTTTTTTTTGTGATACTTAACCGGAATTTTAACGATGAAAAAATCACTTTTTTTTTTGTAGGCGGCATTACCTCAAGGGATCGTACCATTCGTGTTCGCGAGGGAATACGGTCTGCATCCAGACATTCTCAGCACATTGTGAGTCATTTGAATCATGTTCATGACATTGGTTATGTTTCTAAATTTGTCAATGTCTCTATTACAATATTTTCAAAGATTAATTTGACTGTTTTGTAAATTTTCAGGGTGATCTTCGGGATGATAGTATCTTTGCCCGTGACCCTTCTCTACTATGTACTTTTGGGGCTATGATTCCGTTGAAAACACGAAATCCGTAAAAAACGAAATCGAAAAAAGCGAAGAGATTATGTCGAAGATCGGTCCGATCGAGCTCGTAATAGTTTTTTTTAGAGCTTAGGAGGAAGATTGGATGGGGAGAATTTTTCTCACATGTACTAATGTTAAGTTTGATTTCATAATTCAGAATGATTATGTAGTAATGTTAGACGTTTTAGGTTAGGAATCGTGGATTTGGACTATAATCATGTGAACCCTTTTGTTCTATAACCGGAGAAATTAACGCGAAGAAAGAGATTAAAATCTTCGACTTAATAACAATTATAATGAATTAAACTACGATCCAAAGGATCAATATTAGGACTGCCGATTTCGGTTCAAGTCCGCCCCGATCCCACCCGAAAAAAATATTGGACTTCAGATCTGAATTTGTAGGTCCAAAACAATTGTGCTTTCCGGCCGATTTTAAATTGGGATTCATACTAGTTCGAAAGTCCTACTTATTTTTTTTAAATAAATACAAAAAAAATTTATCCTTGTATAAAAAGAATGTACTAAACGTGTCCGATCCGAGCCCAAAATCTGAGACCTATATGGTCGAGCTTTGAACTTGGTTCTGTAGGCGCGAAAAATTCGGACCGGCCCAACAAAATGATTGCATCAGATCAGCTCGTTTGACACCTCTAATCAATATGGTTCACCAAAAAACAACGAAAGCAACTCCATAAGCATCGAAGATCATGAATAACATAGACTTTATTTATGAATTTTAGCCCTTAATTATAATCAACATTGCTAATAGCTCTCTTCTTATTTAGCAAGCAAAACCAAATCAACAAAAGATTGGTTAAGGTTGTCGGAGAGGAGGTGGACCAAGGCGAGGACACCTCTCTTGGCATATGTTTTCGTCGTACCAACAATTATTTGGGTCGAAAAGACAGCACCAACAATTGCGCCTGAATGACCGTCCACACATTGCGTGGATGCACCTTCCCACCCAAATATCCGTCCGTTTGTATTCGTCATTTTCCTCCTCCTCCATTCTTGCACCTGACGACCATAACCAACCCACAAAGGCATTTCACATACATACATACATACAGACATACATACATACATACATACATACATACATACATACATACATACATACATACATACATACATACATACATACATATGAAGATCATGATATTGTACTTACATACGTACATATTTTTTCTTCCAAAGATCCAACAGAAAAAAAAACTTCAATCATATATATGCAGATCATTATCATATATATATATATATATGATGCAAAGGTGGTGGAGGTTAGAGAGAAGAATACATTGATGGAGAGGAGAGAGAGAGATCAAGAAGATTATGCAGACCACAGGCAAGCTCGAAGCCATTGTAATGTCCGAGAGAAATTTTATTAGGTGTTTATATAAAACAAAGATTTATTTACTGAGGCCTTCTCTCTTAATTAACATTTATGGACCATTTAATATTTTATTTTGGAAGGGCGATTTCATATATAATCGTATCATAGATGAATGTGACTGTTAACTGAAATTTCAAGAAGGAAATTAAGTCATCTAATAGAATTATCCAAAAAAATAGAATAAAGGACCAAATTTGTCAATTAATTAGAAACTCATCACTCTTGACCATTCCTGATCAGGTAGACAGTTCTAACAACTTGTGAAAAGGATTGAAGAAAAGTTAGAGTTTCGGTTTTCGGTTCGGAATTCTAGTGATACGGTTCAGAAACGATATTTTTTGGTTTTATAAAAATTATACCAATAACCGACTCTGGTTTTAGTGTCCGAATCGATATCATTACATGAATCCCAAATAAGTACCAAACCATAATATTTAAACATATATTGATGGACAATTCAAATTTTGGTATGGTATTTACGGCTCGCTTCGGTTCGGAAACATTATATTTGGTTCTATAAAAATGTACTACATTAGAATCAAATGCAATTCGGTTAGGTTCGTTCTGATTTTATTTCGATTTGAATCAGGTCGGAATTAAATTCTCGAACCGGAGTGTTCAAAGGTGTGGGAACATAATGAAATTAGAAAATTACTGAATTCAGAATCGGATTTTGTTTTTTTCATTCAAATTTCAAGCACCCATCGGTGTTTCATCCTTTTATACGTATTTACTAATTTGCCATTAGATTTGGTTACAAAATTACTATCAAATTTATTTGCAAAATTAAATATACATGAAATTATATGGTTGGAATGAATTAGGAAATAATCATTAAATCTATTTTTTTTTTCCCGGACTCTAATACTCAAAGATACCTATTTATTTATCGAGTATTCAAAAATAGAATGCCCAAATCCTTCGAATCTGTGTAATGATCTTATTGGGGATATTATAATCAACGAAATATAACCATTCAAATATAACTAAATATGATATAAAATTTTAGTTACAACTTTATATATTTCGTAGATTTAAAACACCAGTAACTCGCGAACCGGTTCAGCTCGGTTCAACCCGAATCATCATAAGTTGATTTTTTTTTTGATAATGTAAGAATCCGCAGTGACATATGTAACGGGTTCAAAAAAAAAAACTCGTTTTTAAACTAGTTAAAAAAAAAAAATCTTAAACTATAACTGCACCAAATTAAGTGATTTCATATGGGCTAGTAATCGCAAAAGGTCCACAGGCCCACATAGTAGAGGAATCAAATCTCATATTAATCAATGTGTTTATATAATATTATAATATATAATCTCTTAAACCCAGTCTGGATTCTTCTGTAAAAACCTTTCACAGCAAACTACTGCAAGGCCGCCACGATACACAGATTTTTGGGGAGAAGATATCGAATTATTTTATTAAATGGATGCCACGTGGACGAAAAAGACAGCTCCAAGTGGACGTCCGTACGAGAGCCAGCCCAACCCAACCCGAGAGCGCCCCTGGTAACGCCGAAAGACCCAAACAGTCCATAGACAGAGAGAGACCATTTTCAAAAAAAAAAGGGGCAAATCCAGTGGCAGTTTCGTAAATTCGTGGACTTTAACATTTGGCTATAAAAATCTCGTCTTTCCCAATTCACTTGCATAAACAAAAGCAAGCAGTCATATTTACAATTTTACCAATCCCCTCATCATCAAGATGTCTACTGTTGGTCAGGTTATCCGATGCAAAGGTGAAATTTTTCGTATTTTTGAGTTCTCGTTTTTGAATAATTTTTTATTCAGATTTGATCCATGTTTTGATTTCACCAATTAATGTTATTTACCATCTGGGTTTTTCTCCTTTTTGCTGTACCTGGTGATTTCTATACAAAGTATTTCTCTTTGTTCTTATCATCTGAAATAGGGCAATGGATGATCCATGGAATGGTACCTTTTGTGTAGTGTTTGATCTTTGATTACACTATCTCCAACTATTAATGGTGTTTTTCGGGTGGGGATTCAGTACAAAGCGTGTGTATTGCTTTGTTTCTGGCTCTGTGAATATGATCTTAAAAAAAAAAAAGACTAAGAGCGAAAACGGTGTCGTTTGATGGGTGCAGCTGCGGTGGCGTGGGAGGCAGGGAAGCCGCTGGTGATGGAGGAAGTGGAGGTGGCTCCTCCTCAGAAGCACGAAGTCCGTATTAAGATCCTCTTCACTTCTCTCTGCCACACTGACGTCTATTTCTGGGAAGCCAAGGTATATATATATATATATATATATATATATATATATATATATATATATATATATATATATATTATTATTCTCT